AGGGAGAGCTGCTGCCAAAGTTTGCTGTTGAGGAGCAGAAAGCAAGGACAAGGACCCCGAGGCCCTTGGGCTGCTCCAGGGCAGAAATGTCATTAAGAGGATCTGCCAGGTGTGAAGTCCCAGCTGAGCTGGTCTTGCAGATTGGAAGACTTTGGGACTCTGAAAGCACCTGCATAGCACAGAGAGCTCAGCAGATGGTGGGGAAGAGGAGAAAGGTGAATGTTAGCTTGAGTTTCGAGTGGGTTTCTGATGCTGCTGCATTCACAACCCCTTTCCTGCTGCTTTTCTTCAGGTACTTGTGAAGTGGCTTGTGTCATCCTTGCACAAGGCTGGTGAGTGGATGGTGTGCCTCGGAACAAGGATTGGGTATGGGAGAGCTGTGGGCTTGCGCTGCCCAGCATGGAAATACCTTGTTTTGGAAGTTCTGCTTAAGGAGGGTGGATAAAGTACGAGAGCTGAGGGGTGATCGGTGTTGTCCTCGTGCTGTCCCTTCTGCCCAGGATTTCATCATGTCATTAATCCAAGATCAAAAGCGATTTCATGTGATTAAAATCACCGGTGACACGCTTGAAATGAAATATGAAGGTGGAAGGACAGCAGTGAAGGCCCGTGTTCCTGGGGAACCCATGGGCTGAGAAACAGGATCACGTGAAAGGCTCTTTATCATGCCCAATAAATCACTGAGATCAATGGACCTTCAAAGGTTAACTCAATACGGTTGAAAAGGAGAAAAGCAGAGGGTTAAATTAATCATCACTGAAGGGTTGGGCCAGCTCACTGCTAGGCTAAAGAAGTGCCAAAAGAGCCTCCCCCATGTGGGACGTCCACAGAGGCCCCAAAGTGCTTCACAAACTTCATGGGCAGATACTTCACTGACTTTTATCTTTGAAGTTCCATCTGCAGCCTGGGCTCTTTAATTACTGCAAGGACACAGGGAGCTTGTGCCCAGGGTTTTAACATGAGAGCCATAGTGTGAGGAGATTCATGTCCCAGCCTCAGCGATGGCAGGGATGGGGAAAGCCACCAGCACAATCTGCCATCATTAAAACTGCATGGGGCAAAAGGAAGTCAGATTAAATCCTGTCATTGGAACCTCCCTCAGGTTTGATGGCCTTTGATAGCCCGAGCCAACCCCAGGCTGTGCTTTGCTTGCTAAACCCTGCCAGCCCTGCACAGGGCTGAATGCAGTGGTGCTTCCCAGAAGGAATTTCTCTCGGGCTCCCCGGGAGGTTTTGGCAGTGTCCAAGCAGTCATTACTAAAGCTGTGTTCAGACACGCTTGTGTTTGCAGACTTGAGCAATGGGGGGGGTCAGAGGCAGCAGGAGATGGGGTGGGATGTGCTAGGGAGGGTCTGATATCAGGAGGTCCCTCCTCACCTGAGTGCTGGTGAGCAATGGGAGCTCGTGGGTGCACTCAGTAACTTACGTCACACCATGCCCTGGTATTTGAGTTCCAATTGGGAAAGTCATTCCATCCATCTGCCAGCACAGACCGAGCAGGGTCTCATAGACCCCAAGCCCTTGGCACTGCCTCTGCCTGTCCTCACTGTGACGTAGTGCTGTGATGTTAATGTTAGAGTGTGGAAACTGAGGTGTGGGAGATCTAGGAGCCAGGTCTTTTGATATTCATACACTCCAGTCCTGCTCGAAGCTGATTTGGATTGAGAGGAGTGTCTTAGTGCTGGTGCATGTGAGTGCTGGTATGCTCAGGGATGCTCTCCTGGGCCTTCACAGCCCCAGGCAGACCTTAGAGCAGCTCCCAGTGCCTAAAGGGGCTGCAAGAAACCTGGAGAGGGGCTTTGGACAAGGGCCTATAGGGACAGGACATGGGGAATGGTTTTAACCTGCCAGAGGGGAGACTGAGATTTAGACAGGGCTTGGAGCAAGCTGCTCTAGTGGAAGGTGTCCCTGCCCATGGCAGGGGGTTGGAACTGGATGAGCTTTAAGCTCCCTTCCAGCACAAACCAGGCTGGGATTCTATGATTCAGATCTCCCTGGTTGGAAAACCACAGAGCACAGATATTAAGGTGCATAACAGGGGTCCCTGCACCCAGTCTGGCTTCCCCAGCACCCTCCACGTGTGAGCTCTCCTGGTGAAAGGCACTTTGCAGGTCGGGCTGTTACCCTGCACAATGGAAACCTGGCGGCTGCATCCGCTGCTTAAGAGCCTTCCCCTTGTGCAATAACCTCTCATTATTTTTTAATGTTGTTGTAACTTTATGGCTTAATCAGTATTTGCAATTTGTTAGTAGTCCAGGCTGCAATAAAATTGTTTTCCAGGTACTGAAACATCCTATCAAGGTTTGTAAAGCAGTGGTTCTTAGTTTATCACGCTCATAAAAAGCACTGGCAACTTGACAGATATAATAACTTTTTTTATCAAGTGTCTAATTTGAGAGGAAATTAAGCCATACATTACATGCCGATCCGAGCTGGAACTGGAAAAAGCCCCAGCCACCCTTCTCCCCACCCCGGCGAGTTTCCTTTCTCATCCCAGCCTCTTCTGGATGGAAAAGCCTGCTGAAGGCTGGCTGTGCTGCTGCATTCGCTCTGCAGTATCCCTGGGTTGTGTGTGTGTTTTTACAGGGCACTGCACACTTAATAAAAAGTAATTTATGTGGCCTGCATTGATGTCACAGCAGTGAAACAATACCTTTCCTTTCCTGCAGCAGAGCGGGATTTATACGAGTGCCTGGAAAAGCTTCCTCGAAATGCAGTGCAGATGCTCCAGCCACTATATCCAGTTTACTTATGGACCAAGGTTTTTAAATCAGGTAGGTGATTCTGGGTGCTTCTGTTCATGGCATCCATCTCTGGGTGCCCAGAGGGACGGGGATGAGAAGGACCTGATCCTTTTCAGGCATTGGAATAATTGCAGTCTTATCCTCGGGATTTGGATTGGTCTAAGGAATAACTTCCCCCCCCCCCCCCCGCCCCAGTCCCAGTGTCTGCTCAGGAAAGTGTTAGTGAATTGAGTGGTGTCTGCTTTGTAACTGCCCCAAAAGGCCCTTCCTTCATGAGGCCCATTGTGTTCCCAGGCTCCATCCTGGTCTGTGATTCCAAATGTGCCCCCAGTCTCCTGCATCCACAGCCCCAGCCCTTGTCCTGCTCCTCTTCCCTGCGCCTCTCTGCCTGCAGCAGCAATAGGAGGAGAGAACACAGGCTGTCCTCAGGCAGTCATTTTAAGGATCATTATTTTGGTGTTTAATTCCAGGACTGATTTCCCCCCATTCCCATAAGTGGTACCAAAACACCAATAAACAACTGAGCAACTAGCACAGATCACCCGGAGATAGCTTTCTAAAATAAGGCTTTGGAAGTGATGCCCAGGTCTCCCATCGTCTCCTGCAAGCAGAGCACCTCATCCTCGAGCCCTGCAAGGTTGAAACCCTCACTGAGGCTGGAATGGATTTGCTCTGGGAAGTCTGGAGTAAAAGTCAGGATGCTGCCTACAAGCCACACACTGTATTTGTTTAAATTTTCATGCGAGCGAATGTCTGTGACACAGGAGACAGGTTTATGGAGGGGGGGGGGGGAAATGTTGACAAATGGCCCAGTAATCAACTGGAACATGCAATAAATCATTGGAGTGCCAATAACACTTCCAGGAGGAGTTGCGAAAGGTCATTACGATGCCACCATGTATCATGCAGCGCCAAACAAAGCAAACAGAACATGTTGGGAATAGGATTATGGGAGAAGCATCTGTCAGTTCTAATTAAGAATTAACTGTGGATCCTATATAAAAAGATGTGTGGTTTATTCCTATCTCCCTCCTTTTCCCACTTAGCTCTCTGTTTTTCCCTCTCCAAAATAAAACTCAATTACTTAAAAAGAAAAACCACCTCTGTCATTTAATCTATTCAACAGCAGCAAAAATAACCTGACGTGACAAAAGAGTGAAGGCTGGAGGGGAGGGACAGGGCTCTCACTGGCTTCTGCAGCCTCCACAGCATGAAGGAGGGTGGCTCAGAGCCTGCCCAAATTGCCTGGAATCCCAGAAGTCCTTTGGCATCCCAGCACCAGGCATCTGCGATGGCTGCAGAAGGCAGAAAATGTACAAACCAAAACACTTCAAACCCCAACCTTGGCGTGGAAAAGGAGATTGCTTGGAGGTTGAGATGCTGAAAGGATTTTGGCTACCAATGGGAGCTAAATAAGTGACAATGAAACAAAGCAGAGCAGCTAAAAGGGAGAGGGAACCCAACAGGGAAGAGACGTGGGGCAACTGAGGGATGTGCCCTTGGAGGGGACGAGGGGTCCCTGAGCCCATTTCACACCGCATCCTCCCCCCAGAGCCAGTGTTGCTCAGAGGCACCCCTCGCCTCTGGCCCAGATCTCAGGGATTTCACCCCCTCGAGCCGTTCATCCCTGTTCCTGGCACTGGGTCTCACCCAAGACAACACAGGGGTGGCTTTTGTGTTGTTCCCCTTGCCCAGCCACTTGAGCCACCCATCACCGCTGCTGCCAGTGACGCTCCCTGCATCAGCAGCTCATAAATCCCTCCAGCACCTCCTTCCTTTCACCTTGCCTTCCCTCTCCTCCTCCAGGCTCCCCTTTCTCTCCCTCCCCATTAATCTGACTTGCACTTTATCATGTAGGCACCCATCCCAAGGCTCCTGCTGAGAGGACTATGCAGGCACCGTGCTTTTCTTTATTATTATTATTTTTCCCTTTCTTCTCCTCTATATTTCCAGGCCTCTTTTCTGCTTAAGTTGGCATTTCTTCTTCTTTCTTCCCTTTTTTTCTTTTCCTTTCTGCTGACTGAGACAAGACTGTGTCCTACTTCAACATCCCAGGATTTGTTACGACTTCAAGGTGCAGGTTTATGGCCACAGTTGTCCCGTTTATGGTACAGTTCTTCTTATGGGTTCTAATAAACTTTGTAGCTCCAGGGTGCTCTTAAATCCTGATATGAAGGATAGAGAAGAATCATTATTTAGTCCAACTAAATATAAGATGTTTCACCCTTGAAGGCTGAGGATAATGTTTCTTTCACAGGTGTGGAAGGACCCATAATTCCCGTGTACAGCAAGTGCAGCTGCAGGAGAACATAATTCTCCCCATGGAAATAAGGGTGTGCTCGCATGTGGGATAGGGAGAGATGGTGCCAGCTGGGATGGGTGCAGCTCCAGCACAGGTAAGTAGCATTAAAGCTCAATAGGAGTTGCAATTAACTGAATTTAAAGTTGTAACCTTGTAACCACTGAAGGTTCATTAGCATTAAATGCCTATTAAAATCACAGCATCCCAGACTGGTTTGGGTTGAAGGAACCCTAAAGCTCATCCAGTTCCAGCCCCCTGCCACGGGCAGGGACACCTTCCACTAGAGCAGCTTGCTCCAAGCGCTATCCAGCCTGGCCTTGAGCACTGCCAGGGATCCTTGAATCAAAGGATCCATGAATTCAAGGACCCAAATCCTTGGGTCAGAGCTGAAAAGGAAACAGTCCAACCTGCTCTGATCATTTATGTGTTTCTCCATGCAAAGCTCTACACGGGACCTCAGTATTGCTTTTCCTTCATGTTCAGAGCAGGCATGTATGTTCATATACATATGCTTGTATGCATACATGTGTGCAGGATCACATTAGCTGAAGGTAGGAGCTTTCTGGGAGGTTTTGGGTCTGTCGCTGTAGAATACTGTGGCCTTTTGAGGGAAGAATGCACAGAGGGAGAATCAGAGCAATACTAAAGCATGTTTTGGGTCTCAGGGTTTTGCAGTGGGACACAGCTCAGCACTGAAGGCTCATACAGGGATACAGGAGGGGAGCATCAACCCAGGAGCTGCTGGTGACTCACCCAGTGCTAACCCAGGAGCCAGGCACCGCTCAGAGCATCCCTCAGGCTTCACCAGCCTTTTGTTAAGGTATCGTCTGCTGTCGCAATTACTCTTCCTTGTGAGTGACTGATTTGGTGTCACTTCTGGCTCGGATCTGCCCGGTTTGGTCCCTCCCCAGCAAACCCAGCAGCACTTCCACAAATACGGAGACTCTCCATGAGGTCGTGGCAACAACGAGTCACCTCTGAACGGACAGAGTGAAACAGCAACCTGCCAGGAAAGTTTCCTTTCCTCTCACTGATCCCTTGAACTGGTTACTCAGAGTTTCTGTGGTTCAAGGCAGCTCCAACCATCTCAGCAGCCAAGTGCAGGAAGGCAGCACTGTCACTACAATACCTGTTTGATCGTGCTCACCAGTATAAATCATTGTGGTTAAAGCCATTGGAAAGGCCATAGGATAAGACACCACCTTGTTTACTTCTTCAGATCATCGAATCAGAGACTGCTTTGGGTCGGAAGGGACCTTAAAGCTCATCCAGTTCCAACCCTCTGCCGTGGGCAGGGGCACCTTCCACTAGAGCAGGGTGCTCCAAGCCCCTGTGTCCAACCTGGCCTTGAACACTGCCAGGATGGGGCAGCCACAGCTTCTCTGGCAATACCTTTAGGCACTGGGAGCTGCTCTAAGGTCCCTGTGGAGCCTTCTCCTCTCCAGGCTGAACCAGCCCAGCTCTCTCAGCCTGGCTCCAGAGCAGATGCCCTTGGTGCATCAGCCATATGTAAATCCTTTTAAAGGCTGCGTGTCCCTAAGCTCTAGGTGTCCTTGACGCACACTAAAGCACATCACAAATCATACCCGACGTGCAGCTCGGGATGCAGGGACAGCCGTTGCCACCAGGACCCTCCCCAAACGTGCCCTTCCAGCAGCCTCTTCGCATTGACCCAGAGCACGCTGCTCCTCAGCAGATGTTCAGGACTCAGAGCTCAGGCTTCCACGGAGGAGCTTCCAACACAAACCATCTGGAAAAGAAAACACCAAACTATTTGGAAGCTATTTCCCTCCTCCACTGCCTCCCCCCCCCACACCGCCTCGGCCGGTGATCTCAAAGTCACAGGGAAGGGTTGGAGAGGACAGAGCGCCAGAGCCGGGAACGGAAGGAGCGCGTCAGGACAGGAATGTTCCCAGGAAGGCTGCAGCTGTTCCTGTTCTTGCTCTATGGCAAAGCACCCGGCTCGCTCGGCACGGCTCCGGCAGCCCCAGGGCTGAGCGCCTCCAGAAGGAGCCGGTGGGATGCTGAAGAGTGAGCGCTGGGGACACGAAGGGGCTGGAGCATCTCACACTTTGCTTTTTATCCTCACACCGTAAGGAGGAGGCGGTAGCTGCAGGGAAAGGCGTATGTTGTTCCTAACGTCAGGAATGTTGTAGCTGAGATGTGGTTGCCCTCTGGCAGGTCCTGCGGTGCTGCAGTCTCTGGTTTCCCACTTGCTGTTTGCAGCCCTTTCATGCTGCTGGGCCGGGGAGCCAAAACGTAGTCGCGTGTTTTTCTTCCTTCAGTATCCAGAAACATGAGAGGAAGTGGAGGGGGGGGGGGGAACCTGAGGACGGATCATAGAATCATAGAATAGTCAGGGTTGGAAAGGACCTTAAGATCATCCAGTTCCAACCCCCTGCCATGGGCAGGGACACCTCACACTAAACCATGGCACCCAAGGCTTCGTCCAACCTGGTCTTGAACACTGCCAGGGATGGAACATTCACAACCTCCCTGGGCAACCCATTCCAGTGCCTCACCACCCTAACAGGAAAGAATTTCCTCCTTAGATCCAATCTAAACTTCCCCTGTTTAAGTTTGAACCCGTTACCCCTTGTCCTGTCACTACAGTCCCTAATGAAGAGTCCCTCCCCAGCATCCCTATAGGCCCCCTTCAGATACTGGAAGGCTGCTATGAGATCATCCAAGAGGAGCCTGGGCTTCATCTCCTGCAGCCAGTTCCAGCCTCCAGCGATAGCCAGGAGCCCCCTTCCAGAGGGCTGATTGTGAGAAGGGCCTGTCCCCTCTCATGTCCCTTCAGAGTGCAGTGACCAATGTGCACCTTGGTGTTCCCCCTGTCAAAGGGGCAAACTGGCCTGGCCTTGCCTGCTGCTCTCACCCAAAGTCACAGCTGTAAATGGCTCTAGGACCAAGATGGAATTTGCTCCTTGCACTTCTTAGAGCATCCACAAGATCAGCAGCACTTATTCTGCCCCTTGGCAGGTTTTAAATTCATGGTGCTTTACACTAAATCTCACCAGTACCCATAACAGTGGGGCTGAGCTGAGTGAGTACGTATGTCCCATTAGCACTTCAGACAGGATGCTCCATCTGTCCCTGCTCTAAGTGCTCCTTTGCCCAGAGTTTCTTGTACCCGTGTTGTTAGTTAAGAGCAGCTTGCACCAGGCACAGGGCAACCACCCTTCCTGCATCAGCAGTAGCCCTGGTCCTCGCTAGGTTAAGGTGCAGGCAGGAGCCTGGTGCTTGGATCATCATGCTGGAGGTGCTGGCTCTTCCTCTGCCTTTCTGCCCACTTCTCACCCTAGTTTCTTAACACCCTCTTCTAGCTTTGGGAAAGGCTGGGTTTGAACAGAGCTTTGGGCACTTTGCACGTACAGGGCTATTACAATCACAATTAATAGTGTTAATCAAAGTGCATTAGTTTTCTGTAAGACTTCCCATTGCCTCTGGCGGGCAGGGGCTCGCCCGTGACCAGGTGTGCCGTGGCCCCAGTGTGTTCCATGTGATTGCCTGCTTGATTCTATGTCGGAAACATGCACTGCTCCAGGAGCACGCTGATGCTCTAACCGAAGGGCACGTTGGCATGTCAAAACTGCAGTGGGAGACCCATGTGTGAATCACGATGCAGCGTGCGTGGGTGAGCACGCGTGGTCACGACCGGCGTTGGCACACGTGTGCTGGGGAGATGCGTCGCTTCCCTCCCATCTTTTTTGGGATCCCTTTGGGCTGTCGCCTTCCCCGTTTTCCTGGAGCGCTGTCGGCACAGCCGAGGAGAATGGGGTAATGAAAGCCGAGCCATACATCCCTGCTTTATGTTTCCAACGGAGCAAGTGTGACTGTCAGGTTGACAAAAGATTGTTTATGTTCAGTGGCGTGAAATGGGGAGCGAGTGCGCGGAGCCGAGCGCGAGGGAGCCTGCCCTGCCCGGGCTGACAGCCCCGCATTCATCCTCCACGCTACAGCAGACAAAGCTCTGGTGCTGCCTGACAGCGGCCATAAATCACCGCTGGGAGATGCTGTACCTACAGCTTACACCATTCCAGATGACAAACACACAATAATCCACACAGCACAGCACTTTTTCTCCCTTCTCTCCCTCTCTCTCTCTCTCTCTCTCTCCTTCTGACTCGCTGGTGCTCAAGTGATGACAAGAGGCAGTGAGGAAACCTGCAAAGCCTGGAAGTCTCCCTTGGGAAGTGCGGGATGGAGCAGCGGCAGTCACCAGTGGAAATAGGATAAAGCCGTGTCTGAGGGCACAAGAGTAACAGGGGCACCAGTCTGCAAAGGGAGATGTGAAGCAGGAAAGAATCCTCCCTGCTGGGGCAGTTGTAAGGTGGAATGGGGCTGGCAAACCAGTACCAGCACCCAGGGCTGTGGGTTTGCATGGGACAAGGCATGCACAACAGCCTGGAGAAACCTTGCTGGCCCGTGTGCTGCTTACACAGCACTGCCCAGGTTCCTTTTCAATCTAGAAGTGGAAACATGGTCAGTGAAGAAGGAGGCAGTGAAGGGCATGGGGGAAGATGTGCTGCTACCACCCTGGGCTGTATTTTGCCAGGGAAGGGGAAAGAAAGAGGGGTCTATGTGGTGGGACAACCCTTAAATCAATGCATCTTCATTAACAAAAGATCTAATTCATCAAAGTGACAACATCTCTATATCACCTCCTTCCATGGGGGCTGCTGGGGGTTTAGGGTTGGGGATATTTTTCTCTTTCCTTTCTGACAGCTTTGTCTTTCCCACACTCACTTTTATTTTCCCTTTCTGAGGGAGAAGGAATGATGGTGGTGCTTTCCTTGGGAATATGGTCATTCAAGTGACAATTTCCGCCTTACTCCCAAGATAAAGGGATATGTGGGAAAGAGGGGTTGTCTTAGTGAGGTGTGGGTCTGATTCACTGAGAGGTGAGCAGAGGGGTATGCAGCTATGCATGCAGAATTGGGGTTATGCTCTGAAAACACCCCCAGCAGGAGCCGTGGTCATACAGGGATCTCAGCTTTCCTTTGGAAAAGCAGACCCTGAGAGCTTCACGAGATGGCTGGATGACACCTTAAATCCTGAAGTGCATAAAAGAAACCCAACTGGTTTGGTTTGGTTTTAATATCTGAAACCTTGTGGTTCAGGGGCTGGGAGAGCAGGATGCTGAATTGCCCTATAAATACAAGGCCTGTGTCATTCCAGAATTGCTCCGCTGTTCTCAGTGGGCTCACTCTCAGGAAGAGTGAGGTTTGGCCGTGATATAGGGACACAAAAATAGCAATAATAGGAATGAAGCCCCATTCAGCCACTCCTCCCTGCTGCAAGCACGGGAGTGTGACATCCAAGATGCGAAACACAAGCCCTGTCTTGTGGGAAGAAGGAAGCTCAGGAGGTTGCTGGGGTAGAAATCACCAAACCCAACCCAACCAACCAAATCCAACCCAACCAAACCAAACTCTACCAAACCCAAACCAATGAAACCAAACCAATCCCAACTAAACCAATCCCAACCAAACCAAATGCAAACCAAACAAATCTACCAAAGCAAACCCAAACCAACCAAACCAAACCCAACCAAACCAAATGCAAACCAACCAAATCTACCAAACCAAACCCAAACCAAACCAAATCCAAACCAAATCCAACCCAACCAAATCCAACCCAACCAAACTAAACCGTACCAAACCGAAACCAATGGAACCAAACCAAACCCAACCAACCAAATCTAACCAAACCAAACCCTACCAAACCCAAACCAATGAAACCAAACCCAACCCAACCAACCAAATCCAACCCAACCAAACCAAACCCTACCAAACCCAAACCTGTGAAACCAAACCAAGTCCAAACCAACCAAATCCAACCCAACCAAACCAAACCCTACAAAGCCCAAACCAACCAAACCAAACCCAACCAAACCAAATCCAACCCAACCAAATCTACCAAACCAAACCCAACCAAAGCAAACCAAATCCAAACCAACCACATCTGCCAAACCGAACCAACCCCCCCCCCCCAAACCAAATCCAAACCAACCCCACCCAAACCAAACCCAACCAAACCAAGGCAGCTTTGCCTTCGGAGTGCAGCCATCCTCACGGCACCCCAGCCACCAGGAGCTGAAACGGCCGTAAAACGGAGCCATCGTCTGAAGGCTGAACCAGCACATATATCCTGATGTGCTGACAGTACCTGCTTCTCCCATAGCCTAAACTTCTGATGAACCAACGTGCTTCGGAGCGCATTTATACGCAAAGGCGTATAATATGTCCCCTGTATCTAATTATCTGTCAACCTGAGGCAGTTTGTTTTCCAAATCGGCCTCTCGGCTGTGACTTTATGAGGTCGTAAAGCAAACGGTGCCACTCTCGCACAGGAGCGCCAGGAGAGCCTTGGATCAACAAATTACCATCTTTAATGGTGCCTCCTCGTGCACGCTCCAGCCACGGCCCCCGGCCCCCCACAGCAGGGCAGGACTGATCCTTGTGCTGCCTGCTCTGACCCCAGTGCGTGCGTTGTGAAGGTGGGCAGGAGGAGCTCCAGCCCATCAGCTGTGAGAGCAGCAGCACCAGTGAGAGCCGAGGCGTGGATTCCTCTGCCCACGCTGCTCCTGTGATTAATGATAGAAAGGAATTAAAAAGAAAGGGGGGGGGGGAGAGCGGGTCAACAGCTGAGTGCAAGGCAAGTCGCTAGACAGGGAGTAATTAAGATACTTGGGTAAATATGATTAATAAGCTCAAACTGGCAGGGTGTGCAGTAAACAAGGGCTAACCAGATGGTACCCTTTCCTTCCTGACAATGCTGCAAAAATAGGAAGGAAGGCTCTGGAGCCTCCCAGCGCTCTCGCTCCGGGAGGAGGGAGGATTCAGCACCGAGCCAGGGAGTGAATCACCTGATAGGAATGAGAGACATTTCCCCCTTCATCCCATCCTCCATCCCATCGCTGTCAGGGATGGTGCGAGGGGAAGTCAGCCGGCTGTTCTCACGGTGCCGTGCCACGGACCACGGCATCCAGCTCCTTGCTCAAGCACAGGCTGAGCTTTTGAGCAGTGGGGACAGCAGCAGGAGAGGCCTCAGGATGCTCTGCTGGTATCTGATCTCCAGACAGAACAACTCACATTGGAAAGTCCAGCCCGGAGCAGGAGCTCATGGGATCCCTCTCTCCACCCTTCCAGCCATGGCTGGTGGATCATTCCCAGAAAGAGCTGGTCAGAAATCTCCCCCTAAAACACTCCTCTGTCAGAAGATGCCATTTCACCAAAGGTGAAACATTTGCGGAAAAGCACTGATTTTGATGAAATTGCATTTGGAAAGAAAAATCAAAGGAGAAAATCATTTCGATAAGGCCAAAGCATTTCAGTTTGACCTTTGAGGAATTAAATGGCATAGGGTTTTTTTCCATTTCATAAAGCATTTTGTTTCGGTGTACTCTCTCTATATATCTGTAAGAACTATTGAAACCAGAACTAAATGTTGGGATTATCCCAGCGTAGAACCCCAGACTGGTTTGACTTGGAAGGGACCGTAAATCTCATCCAGCTCCAACCCCCTGCCACGGGCAGGGACCCCTTCCACTAGAGCAGCTTGCTCCAAGCCCCATCCAGCCTGGCCTTTGATGACACCTTTCCCATAGTGCAATATTGCAAGAGATTAAGCCCAAATATCCTGCTTTGAAACAGGGAAGGGAAACATGAGGAATTCTTTCCCAAGCCCTGCTGCTGTCCATGGCCGCATCCACACTGGGGCTGCTCCGAGGAGTCGGGGCACTTCAGGCAGTGCCACTTCCCTGTGTGAAGTGTTTCGGCACCTAAGCTCATATGCATCAGAGCAACGTGATGATATGTTGAGGGTCTGCCAGTTTGCATTTGACTATTTACTTTCCAGTACCTTGAAAATAAACCATTTGCCGTGTAACCCCAGGTATTAAGAACAGATGAAATCAGCGCTTAGCTCCCAGCTTCCTCAGGACAAGGATCCTCTTTTTCCCCCAGCTGAAAAGTAATGAGAGCAGTAAATGTTTTATCCTTACAGGGAGACAGGCAGAACAAGGGGCGCAGGAGGAAATCTCTGAATCACAAAGATGTCACCCAGGAGCCGCCTGGCACCAGTCTCTGCTCAGCGCTGGGTTTTGCCCACAAGGTCCCCTGCTCACTGCACGTAAGTTGTCTCATTACTGTAGTTCACTTCTCCCAGGCAAGGAGCTTGTCCCTCCACTGTGCCATAGAGCCAAAGTGTCACTTCTCATCTCTCTGGGACTCACCTTCCCTTCCCCAGTAATAACCCAGCATCCGCAGGGCAGGGGCTGTCTGTGCCTGTCTGCACGGACCATGTTTAACACACCAGGGACTGCAGAGGGGCTGTGGATGCTTCCTAAGGTGAAGCGTGAAGTGAGACTTTAGTGGGAGGCTTTGAGGTCCGGCGAGGCCACAGGAGCAGCCGGTGCCTCGGAGGCGGCACGGGAGGGATTAAAGATAAAGAAGAAATTCCAGCTCATTGGCAGGGCACATATTTTTCCAATATAAAAGCAAATGGGGGAACCCTTAAATAAATTGGCTCTATAAAAACGTCCTTTTGTATTACGGCCTCACCTTTTCAGGGGGGGAAACACCAAGGTTTATTTTCATGGCTCCCGAATAAAAACATCACTGGTGCTTCGTAATTCCCCAGAACCAACAAGCAGTCCATTGCTATTTGAAAGACACGGGCCCCCCTCGGTCTCCACCATCCGCCCGACTGCACGAGCAGCTGCCATGGAATTACAAGTCCTCGTCACAAGTGCGGAGAAACAAGTTGTGGCATTTAGGAAAGGTCTGCAAAAATAGGTGTCAGACCTTAACTAATAGTGATTGTCCTTCCATTCTGCTGTAATTTACATTTAATTCACACATTTCATTTCCATTTAAAATATGATTACAGTGTTTTGAAGCACATCTCACCTGTCCCCTCCGATTACGGCAGGATGGAAATAACACAAAGCAGCAGGAGGAGCGGGACTGGCTGCCCCGGGTCTGGAGGAGGGATGGTGAGCACATGGGGCTGTTCTTGGAGCTGGAGCAGGGTCCGAGGGACACACCAGACACACAGCCCTGTCCCACCTTCTTACTGCACGCAGGTCATTCTAGCTGCAGGGTTTTAAGCACCAGCAAACACTGATCAGAACTGCCAACAGAGAGAACTGGGCTGGAGAGAAGGCAGCTCTCCAGGCTGTGTTTTTCCATGCTTTCTTCATGGAATACACAAGTTTAGCCCTGTCACACGCAGACAGTTCCAGTGCCACCCCCTCTCCATTGGGATTCGGGGAAGGAAAAGTTTCCCTCCTCCTGCTGAGGTCTGTCACAAGCTCCTTTAAACACAAAAACTCTTGGCTAGAACATAAATCAGGCTCCCCCTCCCCACCACGTCCCCATCCCGCGTCTCCCCCGCGCCGAGAAGGCACAGACATGCTGATGAATATCTGCTACGTGTAGGGGAAAACAACAACCCCGTAAACAGTATTATTAACCCATGGGCTGGCAATAAATCAGCGTGAGAAGGTGACCTCAGCAATGCTGGAGTAATCCTGTGTGTCAGGGTAAATTTATGAGGCCAATTTTATTGGCCTGTATGACCCAGGCTCCTTGGAGATGTCTCAGTAACAAATCCAATCCATATCATTTATTAGCTTTGTACAGTGTCAGCTTGAAGCATAGGAGGGATCCCATTAAAACATACCGCTCCCTCTGCAGAAGATGGGCACAACTAAGCTGGTGGATAATTGTTGGCTGCAAGGAGCCCCTGATTAAGAAATGGCTCGTTGCAGCTTTGCTCTCAGGTCCATAAAGCTTGCCCTGGATGGAAGCACCAGGGTTTGGGTTTGTGCTGCCTGCCCCTTTTCCTCCCTGCCCGCACTGGGCTGGGTGCAGCTCGCCAGGAGCAGCAGCAGGCAGGGTTTGGCCACGGGGACAGAGGTGATGCACTCCAGGGAGTTCCCTGCTGAATTCCATCCTTTCCCCAGGTTCCACCGGTGCTGGACAAGAATCTGGTGGCCCTCAGGGCTGGGGAAGATGCAGGGGCCATGGAGTTGCAGTGGGAGGTTGCAGGGATGCAGCGATGCAGGGATCTTGTGGATGCATCTTGGATTGATACTGCAATGAGGGGGCCAGAGAAGGGATTTGAAAGCTGTTAGTGGCTGAAACTCCTCCTTGGAGGAGGGAAACTGCTTGCAGGAGGGGAGGGATCCTTCAGCTGGGCCCTCTGGGTAGTGCTGACAGAAAGCTCTATTTGCATATTAGATATTGGGAAGAAATCCTTTACTGTGAGGGTGCTGAGGCGCTGGCACAGGGTGCCCAGAGAAGCTGTGGCTGCCCCATCCCTGGCAGTGCTCAATGCCAGGTTGGACACAGGGGCATGGAGCAAGCTGCTCTAGTGGAAGGGGTCCCTGCCCGTGGCAGGGGTTGGAACTGGGTGAGCTTTAAGGTCCTTTCCACCCAAACCACCCCATGATTCCATGATTCAGTTGGGAATGGTGGACCTGGCAGCGTGTGCATCGTGCCCAGCACCCTGGTGACGGAGCGATCGCGCCTTCGCACCAGCACCTCCCGGGTCTGATCCCTGTTGGCTCACCAGAGTCTGGTGGAGGCAGTTTAAGTCTGTTTGACTGTCCCTGTCATCATAAGGTTTACGGATGGTTAATTTATTCTTTATAGCACAGTCATTGATGGCTGTTAAATCACAAATGAGAGCCAATAAAGGGTGAATTGCAGCTGAAATTACACTGTTTATATGACAGCAGAGTGCTGGCTAAAAGATTCATATGCCGCTGATGAAGTACGTTATAAATTTTAATTACCATAGTTTGTACAAATGACATGTTTGAAATGCTATTGAGTAATGTGACCCTGATAATGAAACTATAAAATAAATCATTAACTTTCTGAATGAGCTTTTTTATTTCCATGCTGCATGAAGTAAACTTTCCAATTTATTCCATTGCAGCCTTCTTCTGAAGGAAAAAAAAGCACGGAGAGAAGAGTCCTCTTCACTCAGAGGGATGCTGACAAGCAAGCCAAAGGAGGGATGAGCAGGACCGTGTCAGAAACAACGTCAGAAGACTGGCCAAAACCAGCCCAAGCTCCCAGCCTGCTTGTGAATTCACCCTGGATAATACAGGATGATGCTTTGCTCCTGCAGCCACGACCAGCCCAGCTGCAGGAGCGCAGAGGTAAGAGCAGGGCTTGAGAACCAGCTGTAAAAATCACAAGCCCGCACAAGAGGAGATCTCCATTCAAATCAGAGCACAATTAGAACTCACTCATTGGCTGGGGGCTTTGCAGCCCCAGTCACTGGGGATCATCTTGCCTTTCTCTTCGAGCTCCCTGCATCTGCCAAGAGTGAAGGTGCCTGAGCCCCCGGCTGCTCAACACAGATAATTCCCTGCATAGGGCTGACAAGGTGAGTTTCAGCCCAGCAAGGGGTTTCTTGGGGCCTGCCTGGGGAAGGAAGCACAGACTGGGCTGTTACTGACCCAGCATCCTTCAGTCTAGCTCAAGAAAAGGGGGTGCTTCTTAAACCCTTCTGGAATTACACCATTATCAGGTTGTTACCTTATTTTATTATCATACGTTATTTTTTAAGGGATACAGAGCACAAAACAAGCTAAGAGGGTGCCAGAGCTGCTTTCACATCCCTTTGCAGAGGGGTGAGCCAAACACCAAGGCACCTTGTCCCTGGGTGCCCACGCTCCCCTGGCCCCCAGAGCAAAGGGCTCCCAGGCCCTCCTCCAGAAGGCCCACCAGGTCTGGGGCTTTTGGCATGAGTCACCAGCATCACTGGCTTCATCCTCGTCTCGTGTGACCCATAATAACATGGTTCCTTGTGAGGAGCTAGGGATGGATCTTCAAGACATCAGCTGCCTGTGCTTAGGGTCCCCATGTCCACAAATCCTTATGCATGGAGATGCAGCAGATCCGTGGCTGGATGCCTGGATCCAGTCCTCCTTCCTATCCTCTTCCCCCTGCCACCTCTCTCCACATCTCTGCCCACTCCACACCAGAGGACCCATGCAATGAATTCAGATCCTGCCCAGTGGGTTTAAGTTGGCCGAAGCATGTTGGGTGGCCAGCTCGGGTACCCACAGCCAGGCCTGGTGCTCCTCATGGCAGAAGCACCCATTCTGTGGCCACAGCCACCCCACCACCTCTCACTGCAGACCTCTCCAGGCCTTTTTCCCTCCCCAAAAGTGTTTGGAGTTGGAGGGCTTTTAACACCTGATTTTGTCTTATCAGCCAGACTGAAACTATTTCCAAGCAGGCTGCTCATGCCGCACTACTTACCATTAAAAGAAAGGACCACATTATTGCTGTTATAAACCATTGATTAAGGTTTATAATAGCAATAATCCCCTCGAAATTCATTGTTACTGCAGTTAATGACCAGTTTATTAGAGCGTTAACCATCCTTGGCAATGGGCTGAGTCGTTTAATGCTGGTAACGACCAATTTCTCAAGGGTTATTGCTTAAATAACAAGCCTTTGTTAGATATATGTTCAACCACCAGATACTGCTCCAGCTGGAACCTTCTCCTGTGAAATAATTGTTAATTATTTCCTCCAAGTTTTGCCACCATGCCTCCAAGTTTCAGCTGGGAAGAGTTTGTGAGGGTGCGAAGTGGCAGAGATGCTGAGAGCCCAGGCTGGGCAAGGCAAGGGAAGCAGCCAGAGCCATCACCCAGAGGGATGCGGGTGTAGGAGTTGTGGTTTATGAGGCTTTTTCCCTCTTCTGTCACCCGTGACTGTCCCAGCCCTGGACATGTCCACCCCAGCCACCCACTGTGCTTTGCAGAGGCACGAGCTCGAGCTGGAAGCAGTGAAGCCTCCAGGGATGAGCCCAAGCACTGCAGCGAGCAGCCCAAAGGAGAGGCACCAAAGCTCTCCCTCCCTTCCCTTACATTAACATGATCTGAACGTTTCATGGCATTAACTATGTCCTATCGTGTCACGTTAGGATCATCCTGTAACAGCATTCATTTTGCCTGACATGATCTGAAAGGTATAGATACGATTACCCTTTAATTGTGTCGTATTAGCAAAAATAAATACTGATAACAGGGCAAGGCTGACGCAAAACGATGCCAAATCCCCGGGAACAGGATGGGATTCCTGTTGCCCGAAGTGCTCAGACTCCTGCAGGCTTCAAGACAAGGGTGTTTAATGGGACAGTGGAGAAGAGCTGGAAGGGGAATCCCTTTTGCTGTCTCTAAAGCTGGGTGCTGGCTGCGCTGCTGGGTCCTCACTGCAGCTCC